CCTCTGACAACTGGCAGGGTACAAATTAGGCAATTAGGCAAATACTTAGACAGCTCAAAGAGCCCTGTCTTTCGTGGCTAGGTCATGCCTTATATGGCTGCATAAGGACTCTGTATGCATATGCAAGCTTTCCCTTTTAAGGGAGTGCCTCCCACCTGTTCCCTCCTTGCCTTCCATCTCTGTTCCCGGTTGGCCAACACCTACCTCTCCTTTGCTCCCTTTCCCCAATAAACTCCATGTAGGTTTTGTTGAGTTTTGTGGTCATTGCCCACAGCTGCAGCAAACAACAATAAAGGCATCCAGTTCTCAAATAACTAAAGCTTTCAGGATCCTTTTCTTTAGGTTAGAGAAAATGATGTCTGGCCATCATTTGTGAATACAATATCTTAATACTAGCAATGCATAGCAATTTCTTCTGAGTTGACACATTCCATCCTGAAGAGAAACATGTTAGGATTCAGGTACTAAACACCAGAAGTTTCAAGAAGTCCCTGAAACTGACCCATCTGCATGTGGCTCTTCTCTCTGCAAATTCATATAAGCAATAAAGACTGCCAAGAGACAAGCCTAGACAAGCTATAATGCCTGGAAGAAACATTCTCCAAACTGGCCAGCTGCCAGAAAATTGTAGTAAACTCTAGGCTTCCAGCCTTCATAAGTCTCTCTTATGTGAGGATGGGCTAAAGTGATACAGCTGTCTGAGTCATTTCTGCTCCAGTAAGTAACCTGTCACTCATACACTCCTGTAATCAATTTTAAACTCACAGGCTCAACAAGTTAAACTTGGTATTATCTTTACTTTGGTCTGTTGCTGGTTCCCTATCTGGAGTTAAGTAGGTCTTTTTCTTATCTCCCTAGGGATATGGTCATGCAGCCACTAGCTACATCACTAACAGTTCAGAATGAAGAAATCATTGGTTATCAGGAACTTCTTACAATAAAAAAATTTGGTATGATATTTCATAAATGTGCACTGGCTCACATAACTAAAATACTTTGGCTTTTTCATTTACTAAAAAAATCTTGATATTGTCATTAAGAGAGGTCATTTGTATGAAAATAGTGAGAAAAGACAGGAGTCAGGGCTGGGTAAGAGAACCTGTTCTCCAAGTGTGAGAATCTGAGTTTGAATTCTCAGCCATCATGTAAAAAGCCATGTGTGTGCTTGAAACCCATCATTAAGGATGGACACAGGCAGAGCAGGAGAGCTGGCCAGCTAACCTAGCCAAAAACAAGCTTCCAGCTCAGGGAAATACCCTTCTCATTGCACATGTATGGGAATCCTACCTGCATACACATATGGCAGAATAAAGGAATTTGGATCAATTCTAATGAAAAATATGATTGAATTAAACTCTATAAAAATGGAATTCCATAATTCTGAGAATGGCTGAGTGGATCTGGAAATCATAATATAATCTTAACTTTTTTCTTTTAAAAGGAATCAGAGGTACTTAGTACAACTTTCTTTTGCTTCATCTTAGCTTTTACTGTTCCTTCATGCTGAAATAAAATTGCCAACTTCCATTATATTTAAATGCAACCCATTCTTCAATGAACAGCATAAACTCTACCTCCTCTAATGTCTCCTCCCATAACCTAGCTTCCTTCCTTCCTTCCAACTAGAAATAAAATTTTCTCACACTGAATTCTCATGAATCACATACTTCTTAATGAATATTCTCAATGTTGACTGTTTATTTTAAATGTATTTTTCAGTAAGGTGGATTTGATATCAAAATCATTATTTCCTCTATTTTAGCGATTGCTAAGCCTCTAAAAGACTGAGAATCTCCTATCTGTATTGTATCTAATAATACAGCTATAACATTTTACATATAAAACAGGCAAACCTAAACAAATCCAAACCACAGATTTTCTGTGAACATATGAACCTTATTTGTCCAAAATGCCTGAACTTTATACCTCTCATTACCCTTTAAAAAAATCTTTTTTTTTTTTTTAATGTGTGTTAGGCTTTGGTTTTATATAATATTCAAGGTTATTTCCTTTATTAGGACCCCATCACCACAAGCTACAAAAAAAAAAAATCATAATTAAATTACTAAACAAATGAAAAAGAGAAGACAGTATATAGGTTCACTGTACTTTAAAATAAAAACTTTTTTCCAACTGCTGGGTTTATAGGCATGACCCATCACACCCTACTTTAAAAAAAAAAAAAAAAACTGTAATTTTATTTCTAATGTACTAAACACGATAATCTAATACATAAAACAGAATTCAAATATATGCCTATATTTCTAAACCAACAAATTAACACAAGAACACACCAGCAGACCTTCTTTAACACTGAGAAACTGATGAAGTATGTTACTGTGAAGTGAATGTAAAGGTCCGAAAAAAATGGAAGCAATTTTTGTCTATGAAGATAGTGCACACTGCAGAAGACAAGCACAAAGTGAGCTGGATGCTTCACAGGGTGGTAACCAGTTCATAGTTGATCTAGCTAGATGTTACTGTATTAGCAGCAATCTTAGAGAAAAGCAATTAATTGTCTTTCTTTGCAAAGAAAAGAGAGTATTAACCACCACTACTAGTGACAGAAAAGCAAAGTCTAGGAAAGTGTGTTACTGACCTTAAAAACTATCTTTCTGGCACACTCCTTTTATCCCAGCATTCTTAAGGCAGAGACACCAGGAGGTTCAATGCCAGCCAGGGCTACAAAGACATTGAAAAACAAAAACAAACAAAAAACCCAACAACAACAACAATAACAAAAACTAAACAATGTCAAAAACAGTATGTGAACTGATTTTTCTCAGTTCTATGAAAAGAAGTCTGTTACACATCCCATATAGTCACGAGGCAAGAAATTCACAAATTATTCAACAAATACTTCAGCCTGAATTTATCATATATAGTTCTATAAATTACTTAAGGTTTGAACATATATAGTGTGTTACTTAAATTTTCAATTTTATGTATTATAGCTGATGAGAAAACCTTATAGAGGGTCCTAACTCTAAACTTGCTTTTATATAGCCAGGCAGGAAGTACAGATGGGGCTACCAGACTAGGAGAATTCTGGGAAAGAAACACAGAGAGTGCGGCAAGGGAGCTGCTAAATAGCTACCGGGAACATAGGATGTTTGGGCATTCTTAAGGAGGCCAAGACCACACACAGATACATATATTAATAGAAAGTTAATAATTGAGAGAGCTAGCCAATAAGAAGCCCAAGCCAATGGCCAAACAGTTTATAATTAATATAAGCATCTGTGTATTTATTTAGGATTAAACGTCTACGGGACCAGGTGGGATTCCCCCATCTCTGCCCAGCCATCTCCTTCCTGTCTGTCTGTATGAACTCCAGACCTCTATGGTTAGCTAGTGGCAAGCTCCATTCTCTGACCTTCAGAAGTACTTCATTTGTCCAAACAAGGTATCACCACACCACAAGGTATTTCCTTTCTGATTTTACATTTCAACTCCCTATTCCTTGTAGTTGTACCTAACCTGTCATAAGAATTTAATTAGAATCAAGTAATATGCACAGCACTAAAGATTTTAAAAAGCACAATAAAGGTTGTAATTAAATACTATAGGCACTCAATGAATGATATTATAGAAATCGTGGTATTAAAATTAAATATAGAGATTCCCTGGCAGTCTGACATAGTGGATATTTTCAGTATTCTGTAATCACTCTGAGTTTATTTCTCTTCCATTAGATAAATTTAGAAGCTATTCTTTAGGGTGTGGGAGTTTTACCCACGTTTCTCTTGCCTCTTCATAGGTTTGACTGCCTATGTACTCTCTGCAAACAAGTCCCACTCCTTTGGCAATGACACTTACAACAGCATAAGTCAGTGCTACAAGATAAAGAAAGAAGGGGCCCAAACAGGGAACAGAAACAAAGAGAATGATTGGTAACTTGGGTAAAAAAACAATGCTGCTCTTTTTGGGTAGTCTATTTGGCTAGCCTCAACAAGAGACATGGGAGTGTATTAAATATGACAAAGATGAACATGAAAGCCCCAGCTCAGTCTCCCATAAAGAAGTACCTATTTTTCAGAGGTGAAGAGGTTAACAAACCATTCCAAGTCCTTGACAGTTTTCAATGAGACAAGGGCAGACACAGGACTTCTTTTGGGTTAACCAAGTCTTCCACCTCCATAGTTAGGCATATTTTGAAATAGTCAGAGGAAACCCTTTCTCTTAATTGAAAAACCTTGTTTACTTTACAAACAATGACTTTCTACAACTCTTTGCCCACAATTCACTTAATGTTTTAATACTTTTATGTTTTGTGTCTACCAGAAACTGGGGAAATCCTTTTATCATATTTGTGAGATGGCAGGTTATCTTGTCAAATGTCCTAGGAGCTAAATGACTTACAAGGATGGGCTGAGGAGACAGTTATACTTTTTTAAAAATAGATGTACTTTTCTCTTAAAGGGCTTTCAGTTTTTTCATTAATATACTTTTTCTCTCAATAAAAGGTTTGATCAAGAATAAAACTTACTAAAATGAAAGGATTATTAGGTGTACTTAAAATTCCTCACTGACACCATTGTAATGTTAGTATAGTTTATACCAAATCTACTATTCTGATTATGCATATAACCAAGAAACTTACCAGAGCAGCTTCTGGCTTATATGATGCTCTAACACTTCATACATATTCTCACAATACTGATGATGACCCATACACATCCTTACTGAAGAAATTAAGTCACAAAAAGACTGAGGAAGTTGCCTAAAGTCACATAGTTACTAAGTGGCAAGTCCATAATACAGACCTAGATCTGTTTGGTCCAAAGAACCATTCCCATAACTACTCTATAATTTCTGATGGATGGATCAGATAATGTTAAACAAAATTAATTCCAGTCCTTACAAGTACTAAGTAATTCTTCACAAGCAAGTACATACATTTCCCTATATTTGTCAAATATGTATGTATCAAGTTAAGTGTACATTCTCTTTAGTTCTGAGAGCTAATGCAAAAGATGGATAAGAGAACATTTTCTTACCAGTGCTGCCATCTCCACTCTCCATAGATGACTTATTGGTTTCTGACGGATTGTTCATTCTTGAATCTACAATAAGTCAAAGGTGGAGAAGGTGTTTAAAAAACTAGGGGTGAAGATGAAGCTAAGGAGCCAAAACTACAGGAAAAGCAAGGGTTAACTAATGTTACAGTGGTTCATTTCAAGAAGCCCATGCATAGCATATGGCAGGCTACGATACTATAAACTGAATAACAGATTCCTAACATTTAGGAGCTCCTGGATCATAAAGGAACCCATAAATAAATTATCTAAAATATTGTAAGATTCTTTTAGGAAATTCTAAGCTGAAAAAGATACTATAGTCAGACATGCTAAAAACCATTTTTTTTTTAAATGATAGACAAGTATTACATGCGTTTAAAATAAACTTGGAATGAACTATATTCCTAAATGATTTTTCTAAAACAAATTCACACTTAATAATAATCTAACAAATGAAAAGAAACTTGTCTAAAGTATCCATTAACATCCTTAACCAAACTAGAGTCAACATAGCGGTATGCCAAATACATGCCTCGTTAAAAATAAGCATAACAAACTGTAGCAGAAGGCATAACAGGAATCTCTATAATTCCAAAAGAGTCACACCCAGTTACACGTGAATCTTCTAGTTTAGGGATACTTTTTTTTAAGGTATTAAATTGTAGTTTCCACAGTGAAATGTTGTCAACCACTATTAGCAATTCCAGAAAACATGCATAGAAGGAGGCAAGAACCTTACGCCCTACTTCTTTTTCCAGAGGGTGAATAGAATAGACAAAATAGATATAACTACAGACTTGAGTATTTTTATTAGAGAACAAATGAAACTATATTATACTGATTTTTTTTAAAAAACAGGAAATGTTTACAAGACCCAACCATGCTGTCAATAGTTGTATTATCTACAGGTATAAAAAAAACCCAAGAAAAATATCAGGAACCTTTCTTTCATATTTCATAATCTAGAAAATGACACTTTGCTTTTTAGACAGCGGGGAATATATTTTCTAATAAATAATATTTTATAACTGAGATAGGTCTTATGGGCCAAGGCAGTCGTATGGTAACCCTGGCTTGTTCAAAGGGGTTAAAATTTGTACGTTTGTGGTCATAAATGAGGCTGTTCTACAACTTCCTCCCCCCCACTGTCCAGAAACATTTAAGTATCACCTGAAAGCACGCTAAAGTTTGAAAGGACCAGGTGCACAACTTAGTAAAAATTAGCTTTCTGTTTGATTTAACCAAAACCTTATAAAAGCTAACAAATATCACAAAACTTAAAACATATCATTATATGCATGCCGAATACTTTATTTTAAAATAGAAAAAAAATAATGATTCTGTAAACATGTATGAAAAGAGTTAGTAATTTTCTAATGTCCAGACACCACAGTAACCAAGAAGCCTAATTCTTAACAAATCATGAGCCTGGCCTTACATAATTTATAGCCTAATTTATACACCTTTATGTAAGCTTGAAAATTATGTCACAGGTATTTCACATGACTTTTCTAAGGACCTTTTATTTTACTGTCAAGTAAAAAGCATTTAACAAAACTACTTCAAACACAAAACAGAATAAATAAAATCCTAATTTACAATGATGAGAAGGCTGTTTCAGAGATACTTAGTATCAACTCTAAGTAGTAGATACAGGTTCTGACATTTAAAAATAAATGGTAAAAATAGTTCAAAAAACATTTTTCTTTCACTTCTTGAATATCAAACTCAGTAAGTGTAAAAGAAAAACACAAGTAATTTATTCATTGATATTTACACAATTTTTAAATAGACAAAACACAAGCCTAAGTCACTTAGCTAATCATGTGATGAATCTAATTTGAGGCCTGTAAGTTACTACTGGATTGAATTCCTAATTAACATCAACATGCTATTTGTGTCATGTATATCCTCAAGGAAGCAATTTTTACTCTGATGGCCAAGTATTACTGCTAACTTGACTTTAGCCATGCTTTCTGTATAAGAATTCAGACATTTACTTTATCATTAACAACTGCTTTAATGTCAAGACTAGAAAAAGACACAGGAAATAAAATTTGCAAAAGTTTTAAGCTTAAGATACTCAATTCTTTGAAGTCATTTCAATCATTCTTCATGTAAACATAAAAAAACTCACAAAATATGGCCACCGACAAGCATCATCTGTCTACACCAAAGTACTTCAGTACTTCATTCCATCTTACCACCCAAAATGTTAACATTTATTCAAGCAGAACACCCCCATTTCTAAAGATCCTGCTTTCCACAATACTTAAAACTGCAGATTCCTTTAAAAAAAAAAAGCTGGTTTTAAGAAATCAAAATGACTAATCATAGGCAAAATTTGAAAATGGCCCATAACTCTAAAATCTGGAAATTGATCAACAGTACAGTAACCACTATAATTTCCCCTTCTGTAATAATAGTAATGGTATTAATCTGCATTATGACACCACCTTAATTTTTTCATTTAGCAGTTTTGATTTTGTATGAGGCATTCTTATTAGAGATAGGCAAAACATTTCATTAGTATGTATATACTATTTTAATATAGTATACATTGTTTCTGATTTAAAATGTGTTTTCAACTACATATACTATTTTCTATAGAAATTTCCAAAACACAAAAATGTCCTCCATTCAAGGCAAATTCAAATACATTATTTGCTGAAAATATCCTCTGAACCAGAAGACCTTGTCCTAGGGAGACCTACAGCAAACTCAATCATGCTCTTGCCTTGCAAATGCTTTGCTCCTTCTCTGCTCAAGCCCTCCCTCCCCCATGTTGGTTGCATATGTGATTGAGCATTTATGCATAGTCAATCCCACATATGCTATTTCCATATTAAAGCTGTAAAAAAAGAACTGTGCTGGTACCCACCTAGAACACAGTCACTGCAGTCCAGCATTGCTGTAAAATCTTCAGGAGGTGCAGACAGTCCAAAGCAAGAAGGAACAGGTATCGTTTGGGATGGGGGAAAGAAGGTACTACTATTTCTAACAAATCTGTACTATGTTCTTAAGAGAACAAGGGTGGGAGGAGTGGAAAGTGAATTAACAAGAGAATCAAAATACAACTTCAGTTACACCATAGCAATCTTCAACTGAATAAGGAAACTTCAGTTGCTCAGAGGAGTTTTAGTCTCTTCTACCAGCTAGGACTGACATTGTCAAGGCAACTGAAGCATGAAAAGTTCCCCTTTTTGTAATAAAATAGAAACAAAGATTGCAGCTGGCAGTTTCCATAATGAAGCTTAATCAGTATGCGTGTGATTAGGGCCTTATGCAAATCTCTCCTCGTTAGCACAGCAGCTTAGCACTTTGAAGTCCAGGAACAATTCATTTACAGAATACACTGAAAGCACTCCCTGCATAATTTAAATGAATACATAAATATTTATCAGCTTATTTGCATATTAATTGGCAGTGCATGAAGGGAAAAATTATCTGCCGAGTGCCAGCATAATAATTAGGAGGATAAAATGAGATTTCTTCCAATGGTCTGGCATCTTGGACCTAACTTGAGATGGTACCAGGGGAGAAGGGAGGGACAGGAGACAGAGTTCTGTTAAAATGCCACTGAAATGACATGAACAAATTAGAAACAACTCTACAGACTTAAGCACCTTTAATCTTATTCCTGCTGGCAACAATGACTTCAGTAATAAGAGGATTTGCAAAAGGCTTTCTACACAATCCAAATAATCCCAAGGAAACAATTAGCAAGGTAGAAGCAGAACACAGGCTTGTCAAGATGGTGCTAGTCTACAGATAGGGAATTTTCCAGTTATTAACACACACTGTCAGGAGAAAGTCCTACTTGAAACACTACAACAGCATAAATCCAAAAGCAGGGGGAGGGTACAAAAAGCATCTCTGAGCAGATATTCATTATATTTGAATCTTCTTATACTGCCAAATTCGCAGAGCACCTTAGCCGACTGCTGACATGAAACATGCACACATCAAACTCAAGAAGATAGTTCGTTACTTAGAATAGACATTATTCCCAAATGGGCCTTGTAACTGCAAATTAGTATTTTTAAGCAATACCACTTAATAGACCTCTGTGTGAGTGACTTTCTCTCTTTCCTCTCTCTCTCTCTCTCTCTCTATATATATATATATATATATCCTTATTAAACGTATTTATTAAAGTTTGAAATTAAATCACAAGCTTTCAGAGTTCATTATAAAGAATCCAAGAGATTTATAAAACACTACAAAATAAGGATTGTTAAATTCTTAGGAATAAAGGAACTGAGACACAGAAAACTAAAGAACTTTTTAACTCAATAGCACATTAATAATTTGGAGTTGGGATTTCAAACCAGATTTTGCTGACATCAAGATCCAAGTTCTTTTAAGACCTGCACATTAAGGATGAGTTACACATTCAGAGAACTGAAGGATAGTGAGAGGGAGGGAGGAAAAAAAGAGACTAAAACAAAACTAAAATGGCTTGCTACAGTACTGAAAAAGGAGACCAATAATTGGTAGCAAAGGGACTGTTTAAAATTAAGTGTATACAAATAATACATTAGACAAAAATTGAGTTCTTCAAACATGTTAGACCTCTGATTTTTAAAATGTTATGAAATAAAGGGATGTAATAAATATACATAAAATGTGTGTAATAAACAAGATATTACTGCCAGTATTTACCCAGTGTTGTATGTCACAACACTACAGCTTTGGTTCTGCACATACCTTATGAACGTTACACACTGCACTGCACTGCACAAGCTCCTGTACTACCCAGTGTCAACCAATTCTGCTTGAGACACTTAGCTCAGATACAAGAGTAATGTGCTATAAAGTACATATGATAGCTATACTTAGAAACTTTTCTGCTTTTATAGAAATATATGACTTAGTATTTTTATACATCAGTACATAAGTATCAAATCACAGCATCTTTGGGGCTGGAGAAATGGCTCAGCTGCTCTAGCAAAGGAGCCAGGTTCAATTCCCAGAACCTAAATTATCTGTAATTCTAGGTCCAGAGGATCAAATGTCCTCTCTGGCCTTCTTAGGTACCTGCACACACATGGTATATATATATAAATCTATGCAATTACACACATATACATTTTAAAAACTTTAAAAAAAAGAACACTGTTATCTTTGGATCTGAGTTTCATAAAATACTATTAAGTAAAATTTAGCTTGGCATTAGGGCATTATTTCCACAATATCTGAAATGAACCTAAACTTACTTCTGCAGAAGTGGCATTATCAACAATGATGACCGTAAAAATAAAAATATTGGTTAACCATGAAAAATGTTGAAAAATCATTATATTTTGCAGTATCAAATATTCAAATATATTAAATAAGAGGCATATCTTATTAGTATGCAAATCTGTAATAATTATTAATTGATATGGTAAAAATATACATATACCAAAAAAGCAGCCCCTTTGGTCACTATTGAAATAGACACTCTGAGAGCTCTAGCGAACAAGCTTAAGTACTCAAAGGTTTCCACAAATAGACAGGGGTGGAGAATCAGAAGCAATATCCTTCCCTTATACTCCCCAACAAGGACCCTTTATGTCCAAGAGAAAAGGTCAGGTAACTTCTACTAGAGTCAAATGGTCCTCTGATATATAAACTTAGAACCTCTAAGTTTAAAAATAAACCAAAAGAGAACAGCTTATGGGGGAAAAAAAAAAAAAAAAAAAAAAAAAACAAGCTTTAAGATAAGAATGAATTAATTCAATCAAGTATTTTAATATATGGGTTAGGACTTAATTAACAGCCTACAAATGCATTTAGAAAAGAGACCAATAAATAATTTCATAATTAACAACTTTTTTTGGATGAGCTGGACTGGAAATATGAGATGGGGTTGGGGAAACAGGGTTTATGGAAAGGACAAGGAATAATACTTTATGTAGAACTGTTTGGGAAGGATTAGAAGTTTGGCAGCTGGAGTTTAAATGTGACAACTACCCCATATGGTTATGTGTTTGAACACTTTGTCCCCTGATGGTGCCACTGTATGGAAAGGCCATGAAACATTTAGAGGGTGAAGCTTTGTTATGTGTATGGTGTGCGGGAGTGGGGGTGGGTTGAGACTTTATAGTAAAGCCCTACTCTGTTTCCTGACTGTTGGGCAACCTCAAGCTCCTATCATTATGTGTGCCTTGCCATTGATGGGCTGTCTTCCCACTCCTCACCCCCAGAACTGTAAGCCAATTAAGGATGCTTTAGTCTGGGTACTGTAATCACAGAAATAGAAAACAAACTAATACAATGCCTAATATTTGTCCCCCCCCTTTTTTTTCCTAAAAGGAGAGAAGAATTTTCATGCTTAAAAATTTATTTCTAGCATGACTGCAAAGTAACTTTGTGGTTAAGAGCAAAGTTTTATGCTAGTCTAAGTGTCATCAGAAAAGAAATTAAAAGCAACAATAACCAAATTATAATTTATCTTTTAGATAACCTTTGTCTGTGTGAGTAAATTAAGGTTATATTGTGTTCTTCCTGAGTAAATCATTTATGTCCACCTGTTCATGTTTTAGGGAAACGATCAATAATAGAGTGCTTCAACTCATGTGAAACTAACATTTTATTCAAGTTAAAAATAATAATAAAATGAATCAAAGGCAGAGTCTATCTGACGTTTAACTCTTCCCATAAAATAATAAATTCTCTCTCTTTTTTCTTCATGATTCAGCTCTAGAACAAGGCAGGCATCTGAACTTACTCAAGAGGAGAGTGTGATCAGGAAACTGGTTACATACAGGAAGGTTAATCTAATAAATAAACTAGGCTAAGTTATCACTGTTTGAAAACAAGAATAAAACAAAATGAACTCTAAACTATTACATTAGAATCACAGTCTGGAGAGAGGACTTAATGGTTAAGAACACATGCTGATGTTGCATAAGACCCAGGTTAGTTCTCAGCACTCACATAGCAGCTCACAACCACTTCTAACTCCAACTTCTTGGGATCCAATGCCATTTTCTGGCCTTCACAGGCACCAGACAAGCACATAGTGCACATACATAATGCAGGCCAAAAACATTCATACATATAAAAATAAGTATAACTTTAATACTCCTCCCCTCTCTTTTTTTAGGCATGTGGAACAGAAGTGAAGACATATGACATCCAGACATTGATTAAAAAAAAAAAAAAAAAAAAAGTCTTTAAAACAGTGTTCTCAACCTTCCTAATACTGTTCCTTTAATACAGTTCCTTATGTTATGGTAACCCACCACCACAAAATTATTTCGTTGTTACTTCATAACTGTAATTTTGCTACTGTTATGAATTGTAATGTAAATATCTTATATGTGACACCTATGGGGGTCACGGCCCATGGGTTTAAAACTACTGATCTAAAGAGAATCCAGGGTTCCAAAGAAGTTGCTAGCTGATAAGTTTTTAAACTTTATACTCTAAAAATGCAGCTCAATGGCACTTGCCTAATATACACAAAGCCCTGCACTAGGAAAGGGAAATGAATGGGGAAAAGACAACAACTTAAAAGATTGCTCACCAAATTTGTATAATCTGGACAAGCTATACAAAAAATGATAATGAATGAGGGGCTGGAAAGATATATCACTGGTTAAGAACACTAGCTACTCTTTTTTCTACAGGATGCAGGTTCAATTCCTAGTAGCCACATGAGGGCTCACAACAATTCAAACTCCAGTTCAGGGGACCCAACACTGTCTTCTGACCTCTGTAATGACAAGGCATGCACATGGTACACAGGCATACATGCAGGCAAAATACCATACCCATAAACTAAAGCAACAATAATGAATGAAATATAACTATTATTAATTAGTAAGACTTCATGAGTACCTGTTGATATAATAAACAAGTCAACAAACTGTCATACACTGGTGTTTTTATGCTACTGAAGCTTTGCTTTTCCAAACTCTCAAAAGTCCCTAAAGAAAGTGTGTTTATTTGCACAGCGATAGTGGCAATCTACAGTTATGAAATGCACAGTTAACCTACTGACAGAGTGTACTTATAATCATTTACAGAGTATTCTGAAAGGCTTTCCAATACCTTATAAAAAAAGAAGTCCACACTGAACCCTCTGAATTTTATTAATGAAATCTCAGACGTGCGAGTTTCAGCTTCCCACAGTTTGTGCCATCGTTTATTGTGTGAAGACTTCCTAAAAACTATTATAATCTTAAATTTTATGTTAGAATCTCAGTTAATTTAAAATAAAATCTCCCAGATGTTTTAAAATTAGAATATTATAAAGATGGCATTTTAGATGTATTGCCATACCTTTAAAAAATACTATTTATTGGCACAATAATATGGTATTCTAAGCTGTCCTACTCATTGAACATAATGGCAGCTTTCAGGATTGGTGTGGTCTCCTTGCCAGTATAGTTGGGCCTACACGCAAGCAAAATGACTAAAAGACTTGCAGTTGGCATTGATTTTAGCGCCAACTATTCCTGTGTGGGTATCTTAAAGCCTGGAAAAGTAGAATTCTCACTGACCAGGGTTACTGAACCACAACAAGCTATGTTGCTTTTACTGAAGAGTGATAAATCGGGGATGCTGTGAAGAGTTGTGATGAGCCCCACCAACAGTTTCTTAAACCAAACATTTGACTGGGTGCAGATTTAATGATTCTGTTGTTCACTCTGATATTAAGCATTGGCCCTTCATGGTGGTGATTGATGCAGGCAGATCCAATGTCTAAGAAGAATACAAAGGGGAGACAAAAAGCTCCAACCCAGAAGAGGTATACTCTGTTTCTAACAAAGATGGAAGAATATTGGGAAAACTGTGCTGTGATCACAGTGCCAGTTTATTTCAATGACTCTAAGCAGTAGGAAAACTAAAGATGCTCCAACTATTGCTGGCTTCAGT